CAGTTCAGAGATTTAAGTTTGGTATGTGAAACTACTCCGAATAGTGTGAAATTGGGTATGTTGAAACTGACTAGTGGTATTCTGGAAGAAATTCGGAATGGACAGAAGTCCGATGTCGGGTTAGTTGATAAATTGACATTGATCAACCAAGGTCAAGGAGGCGAGTTCCGGATTGATGAGAATGGTGTTATGAGATTTGGTAATAGGGTGTGTGCTCCGGATGTTGGAGAGATTAGGAAGAGTATTTTGGAAGAAGGACATCGTAGTGGATTGAGTATTCATCCTGGTGCTACTAAAATGTACCATGATTTGAAGAAGTTATTTTGGTGGCCGGGAATGAAAAAGGAAATTGCTGAGTTTGTGTATGCTTGTTTGGTTTGTCAGAAGTCGAAGATTGAGCATCAGAAACCGTCAGGATTGATGGAACCGTTGTTTGTTCCGGAATGGAAATGGGATGGAATCTCTATGGATTTTGTGTCTGGTTTGCCAAGGACATCGAAGAATTGTGATTCTATCTGGGTTATTGTTGATCGGTTGACGAAATCTGCTCACTTTATTCCGATAAGAATGGATTATCCGATGGAAAGGTTGGCAGAATTATATGTTGAGAAGATTGTGAGTTTGCACGGTATTCCTTCTAGTATTGTGTCAGATCGAGATCCGATGTTTACATCTAAATTCTGGACGGGATTGCAAGAAGCTTTGGGTACTAAGTTGCGTTTGAGTTCCGCTTATCATCCATAGACAGATGGTCAGACGGAGAGAACGATTCAGTCGTTGGAAGATTTGTTAAGAGCTTGTGTGTTGGAGAAAGGTGGAGCTTGGGATAGTTATCTACCATTGATTGAGTTTACCTACAACAATAGTTTTCATTCGATCATTGGTATGGCTCCGTTTGAGGCATTGTATGGTAGGAGGTGTCGGACACCGTTGTGTTGGTATGAATCTGGAGAGAGTGTTGTGATTGGACCGGAAATTGTCCAACAGACTTCGGAAAAGATTAAGATGATTCAGGAGAAGATGAGGACTTCTCAGAGTCGTCAGAAAAGTTATCACGATAAGAGGAGGAAAGATCTTGAGTTTAGCGAAGGAGAACATGTTTTTATGCGAGTTACTCCGATGACTGGTATTGGTCGAGCTTTGAAGTCAAAGAAGTTGACTCCACGTTTTATTGGTCCGTTTCAGATTACCAAGAGAGTTGGGAAAGTTGCTTATCAGATTGCTTTGCCGCCGTCACTTGCAAATTTGCATGATGTTTTTCATGTATCTCAGCTAAGGAAGTACATTGTTGATCCGTCTCATGAGATTCGGGTAGACGATATACAGGTACGAGAGAATTTGACTGTGGAAGCGGTACCTGCGAGAATTGAGGATCGGAAGTTGAAACAGTTGCGAGGCAAGGAGATCGCGTTGGTAAGAGTGGCTTGGGGAGGACCAGCAGATGGAAATGTCACTTGGGAGCTGGAGAGTCAGATGAAGGACTCGTATCCCGAACTGTTCGTCTAAGGTATGTTTTAGAGGACGAAAACTCTTTTAGTTGGGGAGAGTTGTGACACCCCAAATAATCCGATTATTAAATAATTAGAATTTTTAATTATTAATTTAATTGGAAATTTAATTATTGGTATTTTTGGATTATTGGAATTAATTTAATTAATTAAAGGAAAGAAGTATTGGTGGTGTGAAGAGTGATTAGAGGGTGTGAGGGGTAAAATACTCTACTCTTACTAATTATTAATTTAATTATTTTATTGGAATAATAAAAGGAGTTTTAAAAGGAAAAAGAAGAGAAAGAGAGTTATTTTGGAATATTCATCATACGTGCATTTGAGAAGAGGAAAAAGAAGGAGAAAATCGGAAGCGTCAGAATTCGAAGAACCCACAAGGTAAGGGGTGATTTCGATTAGTTAATTCGTATTATCGGTTTAGATATTCAATAGTATGGATCATAGTATGTTAGGGAATCCCGGTTTGGAATTCTAGGGTTCCGTAGAATTGTCCCTATTGTGTCGAATTGTAGGTTGAAAACCATTAGGGTGTCAGATGATAAAAAGGAATGATGAAATAATGTTGTTTGATGTTATAATGGTGCAAAATGGATGTGTTTTGGTGTTTCTCATGTTGCAATTCGTATGGGTATGTTTGGAATTGGTTTAGAATGAATAAATGCTGTCAAAAGTGCAGAATTTGACTCTGCAGGTCGTGGGAACCGGTTCCCAGTGGGGAGGAACCGGGTTCCACCGTGTGAATTTATAAAAACTGGCAAAAATGCACGTAGGAACCGGTTCCTGTATAGGTAGGAACCGGGTTCCCATACATTTTTCCAGAAGCGTGATTTTTGAACTTCGCAGGAACCGGTTCCTGCATATGTAGGAACCGGGTTCTGCTGTAACTTTTTGAAAAATATTAAACTTTGAAAATTCATAGCTTTCAAACCGTAAGTCCGTTGAGTGCCGTTTTGGACGTTATTTCTTAAATTTAATGCTCTATTTTATAAAATGAAAAGATTTCCTAAAACCTGAAATTATTTTGAAAATGAGTCAAATCCCGGAATAAGTGATTATTGGCTAACGCACATGGGTGTGTATGTAGCAGTGAACCTGTGATGGATGGATGTATTAGTATTGTGTGAATGAAAGACATGTTTATGTTGCTAATGATGGTGTGCTTGATCGTTGGGATATCATGTTTTTGGTTTTGGTTCAGTTATGATAAATTGATGTATTTCATAGACTAATTAATATTATTCGGGGTATTTTAGAAGGGGTGTTACATCATGCGCCTCCAACGAACCAACTGAATCTTCCACTTTAGTGGTTTCAGGATTGTTGGATTATTGAATAGCTACAATAATGTGATCAAAGTGAGATGTCAACGTTCTCATTACCTTCTCAACTACCATCTTATCAGTTATGGTTTCACCACAATCCTTCATGAGATGGACGGGTTTTTGAACCTTCGACCCATATTCTGCAATGTTTTCATCTTCTCCCATTGACAATAACTCATATTGTCGATGCAAGGTTTGTAACTTGATAACCTTGACTTTCTCACCTCCTTCGTAATACTTCACCAGAATATCCCACGCCTCCTTCGTCGTTTCAGCATGAGAGATTCTGTCGAAATTAGCAGCATCGATCGTCGTCTGAATGCAATAAGCAGTCGTGTAATCTTTCTTTTCGACTTTGTTGTGGGCTTTTTTCTAACGCATGAACGCTATCAGTAACCACTTCTAGGGTTTCATGGAAGCCAAACAAGGATTGCATTTGTTTTTTCCATTGGATCCAATTCTTGCCGTCAAGCATTAGAAGAGAATTCAGAATGCCCTTATCACTAGCCATCTTCGCAGCAGTTGATTTACTTGCCCTAGAAACATGATCTCTGACTTGAAATTCTTGAAAACTCGATCAAGAACACTAACCAGAAGCTTTGGATATCAATTTGTTAGTGCGTGAGACACTTTAGTGAGGAGAGAATAATAAAGGAAATAATGATTTGTATTATTAAATTGTACAAATAATGATACAGACTAGCACTATTTATATACAACCCTAATTGAGTTTGGATCAACACAACTTCGATTATATTTAAATATTAAATCTAATTTAATATAATATTTTAACAAATCTAATTTAATATTTCAACAAACGCTGCAGACTCGGAGACATGGGTATTCCGAACATTTCAATTTCATCATATTTGTAGGCTTTGTCACATTTGTAGATATTTTTGCTGTTATATGCTATTAACACGTGTGTTGTGAGTTTGTTCGTAGATTCATCTTTTTCAGTTTATAGCAATTTCGAATTTGTATTATTCGATGTATTCTATCAATTTGAATGAATGGATATCGTTTTTAGTCACACGGAAAATTGTAAGAAAGATATCTAGTCAATATTTATATCAAAATATTTATTACTCCCTCCGTCCCAAAATAATGGTCAGATTTAGGAAAAAAATTTGTTTCAAAATACTTGTCACTTTATATTAACAATGCAATTTTATATTTAATCTTCAAATTGTATCATCTAATAAATACTCTTAATTTATTGTTTTCTCATTTAACATTAATGCTAATTTGAATACACTAATAGTTAATGGAGATAATTTAATAAAGTCAATATTCTCTCTTTCATTTATTATTGTTTTTTAATCTGTGTGAAATGATCAATTATGATAAATAATATGAGACGGAAGGAATAGATTGTAAGATAAAGATATGTTGACTTCTTCATTAACGCATTCATATTAGAATATTTATTGAGTTTATATGTCCTCCCTCAGTAACGATTTATAAACAAATTTTACTTTTTAGGTTCATTGAATAATTAATGTATCTGGTCTATATATATAGATCAAATATATTAATTATTCAATCAACTTAAAAAAACAAAAGTTGTTTATAAATAGTTAGGGAGAGAATAGTGCACTAACTGTATAAACTAATTTTACACATATATCTAATCAAAATCCTTATATTTGCCATGTCATATTAATTTTTTAAAAATAAAAATAAAATTTAATTAAACACACATCTCTCATTGATTGATAATATAAAATATTTTATTTTTTGTGCATATTCCTTTTTTCCATATTTATTATAGATTGTTAAAAAAAAAATTTGATTTTAAGAGTTTGTTTTTAAAAAAAAAAAAGATTTCTTCGTTTATAAAAAAATATCTTTTGATATAGAAAATTTATATATATATTGTGATATGAATGAAATAAAAGATTTAAACCAATCATATCAGAATAAAAGATTTGATCAGAATATTTAATATAGATTGTTAAAAAAAAGATTTGATTTTACGGTAACAACTACGAATCTTATTCTGCAAGTTTCCACCTATTAAGGAGTTTGTTATATAATTCCAAACCCTATAAGAGTATCACTTTATACTTTTTTTACCGCATCAAGTTTCTGAATTGAAAAAGTTCTACTAAGTGCTTTACTTTGTTCAAGATTTTCGAGTAATACTAGGTTTCTTTAAAATTCATCCATGGATGAATATGATTGTAAGGCATATCCACATATGACTTTGATCGACTGCGATGCATCATACGACAGCGATTCGTGTTTAGATATAGAATTCGATTACACGATTGTTTGTGTTCCGAGTAATGAAATGATTCCGAATTTATCATCGAGTGAAACTAAATGTTACGTTTTTTCTTATGTGTCTGAAGATAAAGTGATCCATAGAGATACAATTATATCATGGCTTTCTGAAGTAGGTGTTCCTGAAGAAGCTTTTAACATGGTGGCAGAAGACATTTTGCAATGTGTTAGTGAGATGGGTAATGGAATATGTAAGGACTCGAGGGGTCTTTCTATTCGAGTTGATTTATCAGTCTCTCGTGGTTGTAAAGAGGAGGAAGAAGATGAAGAGACAAATTGTTTGGACGAGAATGAAGAGGAAGTGGAAGTGAAAGTCGAAGAAGATGAAGATAATGCGTTGGTTCATCCTGTTACAAGGACTATTGAAGATAGCCATGATAATGATGAATGGAAGTATAGATGGGACGAGGAGGAAATGGAGATTGAAGAACAAGAAGATAATGAGTTGACTCCAACTGATACAAGGTCTGCTGAAGATGATCACGGTGAAAACGATTATGGAGATGAACGGAACTCTTATTGGGAAGAGGATATGGAAATCGAAGAAGATAATACATCGGTTATTGAACTTGAAATTGATCGAGATAATAGATCGGTTATTGAACTTGAAATTGATCGAGATAATAGATCGGTTATTGAACTTGAAATTGGTCGAGATAATAGATCGGTTATTGAACTTGAAATTGGTCGAGATAATAGATCGGTCATTGAACTTGAAATTGGTCGAGATAATAGATCGGTTATTGAACTCGAAATTGGTCGAGATAATAGATCGGTTATTGAACTTGAAATTGGTCGAGATAATCGATCGGTTATTGAACTCGAAAGTAATGGAGATAATCGATCGGTTATTGAAGTTGAAAGTGATGAAGATGAATGGAACTATGATTGGGAAGAGATGATAGGAATAGAAGAAGATATTAGGTTTATTCCTGCGGCTAAGTCAGGTATTGAGGGATTGAAGATGGTAACAGTCGAAGAAGCTGGAAAATGTCCTATTTGTTTCGAAGATTTTAATGTTGGTGTCTGTATGCCATGTTCGCATACGTTTCATATGGATTGTATTCAGGATTGGTTGAATGTAGGCAACTCTTGCCCTTTATGTAGATTTCAGCTACCTACTAGTAGCACAGATGAATAAAAAGTGATTTTTTTTAGATGTTTAATGAATGTGTGTTTATTTTTACTCAATCAATAAGTGCTTATCAATATTTGAGTAATAAGACTCTTAGTATAAATCTTATATTTTTTGTTCTGTGAATATTGTGAAGCAATAATTTGCATGATTATACAGGTGGAGGAGGCAAGTCTAGCAAAAGCCAGAAGCCAACACAGTTTTCAGAATCTAACTCATCTTGGATTGCAAGGAAATGCAAACCTCCTGAAGCTTTCTTAGCTGCTTCCCATGCTTCAGCTTCTTTAGTCGATGTAGGACTTTTTTTATACGTCGCATATACATATCGAGTCGAAATCGCAACCGAAAGAGTCAGGTTAGCGCGAGCAGTGTCCGCTTCAATGGCGCAGAGCTCCAATCCATTCATAAAAGCTGTGACAGTAAATTGTTGCAAGAAGCATACATAGCTATGAAATCATGCGCGTCAAAAGTGCATTCGAGTAACTTAGTTAAACGCTTATATATGAAAAATGAAGTTTTTTTACCTGATAATATTTTAGCACGAGAAGATGCAACAGCGAGTCCTGGGATCAACGTCTTCTCGTCGATTTCAATGCCCAATAAATCAAGATCTAGTCCAGAACCATAGCCAAATCTTTCTTCTGAGGCCGAGGCCTCTTCTCGGACAGCTTTAATATAGGTAATTGATAGTAAAATGAGACAATTATAAACTATGTAATGTGATCATGAAACAAACGACATAAAAGCGAACAAATCTCTCTACCTGAGTAAGGTAACTGAACAAACGCCCATCTTTCACCAAAAAGATCTTCGGGAAGTTTCGTGGGAAACGGATTGTCTAATGGCAAAAGAGGCTTGGATCCCTTTTGAAATCCAGGATGTTTCGTATATACAGTCTCGTAACGTTCTTCAAGCCATAAAAGTAATGACAAACACTGAAAAGGACCAAATGAAGCGCATAAGATATACACCGGTGCAACTCTGAAAAGGAAATAGAACCCAAATGAAATAGGATCGCCAAAAAATTCTCGATTTTTTTCATCTTTTTCGTGTCCAACAAATGCATCTTAAAACATTTGAAAGCGGATGCATATTCTAAACATTCGCAATGCAACTATAACTATAACCTTAGTTTAGAACATCAGTAACTTTCTATGGATTTTAAGGATATACATTGTCGATGCAAACCAAATTTACACTGATATCCAATGACAGTCTATTATTTCTCCAAATTGTAACTGCATTTTTAATTTCACGTTACGCCGTTGAAAAATGGAGGCTTCTAATTGTATGTCAAGTGTAAAAATCATTTACACTAACAGTGTTAGTGTCGGTGCGTGACCATTAAACTCATTGAATATCAATCAACTCCTTCCCTTTCTTAAGTTAACTAGAGGTCATATTCAGATTTCGCGAATCAGTACATATGAAACAAGTTAAACTTTCCAATCCAAGGTTTTCCGTGCACATTACAAACCACTTAGCTTTATAAAACCTCCAGAGCAATGAAATTTCATATTCGCAGCAAAATCTGAAATCATACTCACCCGTTTACTCGGAAGAGCTCTTATACCAAGCTCCTTACACGCTTTCGTAATAATCGTCTGCATCTGTGCCCTACAAACCAACAAAAATACACTTAACCAATATTCCTCCTCACACTCTAACAAGAACACCAAGCAAAAACAATGTCTTAGCATTAACCAGATACAATCTAGCAAGATATGATAATAATACAACATATACACCACGTTTTACACAGGGCCGTCTATAAGGGCGTGCAAGCCATACTACTGCACATGGTCCAAAATTTGTCACACGTAGGGCCTTATAAAATATTTGTCGTAGCAAAATAGGCGCTCATTTGTTTTGCAACGGTTGAACATGGTCTAACTTACACAGAGACTCCAAAAACTTAAGAGGATTGTGATCTACGCATGATGCATATTAAAAGCAAATAGAACAGAACATTATAACTAGTACACTTTCATTCTACTAATGTAACAATCACTACAAGTGTTAGGCAAAACTCTTGACAGAAACAAAAACTACAAGAAGTAGCATATAGTGAATCAATTTACCTAAAGAAGCGAATGTTTCTAGGCACAGGTAGATCCAACTCATCACAAATCCCAACAATAGAATCCTTAAGAGTGATACTATTAATAACATTATTAGGAAAATACTTAGTATACTGAAGTGAAAGAGATTTATCACAAACAACAAGCTCCCAAACTTTCTTTCCTCTAGCATCAAGAATTGGCCTAGAACAGAAATCCAACTCCCAGCTTAATATCTCATCAGGATCAGTTTCAGGGTCAAGATAACATGTTTCAGCAGTTGGGTCTTCTTTGTCTTCTTCAATGTCTTTCTGGGTTGTTGTTGTTGTTACTGAAGTTTCTGATGCAGAACGTGTTTGAAGTTGAAGGAAGAGTTTTTTCTTGGTGAAAAATGGGAATTTGATGGTGGGTTTTGATGAGGAGAGTTTGGTGATAATGGAGTTGGGGTAGTTGAAAGATGGCGTTTTGAGTGTTGTGGAGTTGAAGGTTAGAGTAGCCATGGTTATGGCTATGGTTTGTGGAACTGGTTAGTTTGTGTGGTTAAGGTAGTTATCCATTGTCGCATGTTTTTTTCTTCTTCTTGGGTTTTTAAAAAAACCATGTGTAGAGACCCGGGTCAATATATTGGACCGTTTTTTTTTTCTTTTTCTTTTTGCGACTGTTACTATTTTTTTGTTGACCATAACTTTAGTATCTCTATTTTACTTTTTTTTAATTTTAATTTTGGTCTTTTTATTTCAAAAATTGGTTCACAAAGTCTTTCTATTTTGTTTTGCTGAGGAATATAGTCAGTCTCTCTTTCAATTTGGATGTGTTTTTTAATGATGTGGCAGATCCATTGCACATGTGTCATATGTCGGATGGAAATTATAATTGATTTTTTTATTAAATTCATTTATTTTTTTTATTATATGTTGGTAATTAGCCAATTAGAAATATATTAGTTTATTCAAGCACCTTCTATCATGAAGCAGATGAAGCATCGTTTCCCCCAAATACATGAACTCTGGAAATCTCGGCAAAATTAATCGTCTTCGTCTTCATAATCTTAATCCTCTTCAACCTTGAAACGTTGTAATCCTCTTCGACTTGGCATTTTCGTAGTTGTCTTCAACCTTACACTCTATTCTTCGTGAGATTTGGAAATGGAAAACCCAACATTCGTATCAAGGTTAGTGCTTATGATTTCTTGTGGTCCCAAACTATATTCTTTAGTTATTGTTGAATTGCGGTCCCTTATGTGTAATGGTTATTTTATAACATAGTTGTGGTCCTGCATGTATATTCAACTATTCTTCTATTTGTTTTGTGTAGGCTAGCACTTGTTCAGCGTTGTCAGACTTAGAATACACCATAAGGGGACATTGATAACTCATTCTATGACATGGTATATTGGTGAAAAAGTAACTGAAATGGAATGAGACTGGGATGTAGACTTTCTGTCATATATGAATATTGAAAAAATGGTAAAAGGTGTAGGTTACGGGAGTATAAAATGTCTGGTATTGGCGCCTTAGGTTTTCGTTTTCTCGTGGGCTTCGACCGTTGAATAATGACCAAGATGTTTTAAAGTTTGTTGAAGATGTTAAAGGATTTAGGATAGTTGACATATATGTCGAACACATTATTGATATACTGGAAATCATAGACAATGATGAAGCTGATGTGAATGTGGAAATAGATGGAGCTGATGTGAATATGGAAAGAGATGGAGCTGATGTGAATGTGGAGAGAGATGAATCTGATGTGAATGTAGAGAGTGAGGGAGGTAATGTGAATGTGGAGAGAGATGGAGTTGATGAGAGTGAGGGAGGTAATGTGGATGTGAATGTGGAGAGAGATGAAGTTGATGTAAATGTTGAGAGTGAGGGAGCTGGTATGAATGTGGAGAGTGAGGGAGCTAATGTGGAGAGTGATAGTGAAACTGATCTGAATTATGAGGAAAATGAAGAAGCTGGTGATGAAAGTGAGGAAGTTGATGGTGAAAGTGAGGAAGTTGATGGCTATTGTTGGTGTGGATGGAAATAACAAGATCATGCTTATAGCATATGCAGTTGTGGAAGCCAAAACCAAAGGCTCGTGCCAATGGTTCTAGGATTTGTTACTTGATGATTTACAAGTCATTCAACACAATGGATATGGCTTTATCTCAGACCAACAAAAGGTACTGAAATGCTTTTGTTTCATATTTATTTTAGATTGTCATTTGTCGTGTTTTTGCTATCATATAATCATTTGTTTATGCCATTCTTTTAGGGATTAGTATCGGCTATTCTGAAGACAAGGTAGTACGTTGAACATAGATTATGTGTCAAACATTTGTATGGAAATTGGAGAAAGAAATATCCAGGGATAGTGATGAAGGAAGTTTTATGGAGGGCTACTAGGGCAACAACATTACCTGTTTGGGAAAGGGAAATAAATCACATGAAAGAACTTAATCCAAATTCTTGGAAAGACATGATGGCAGTTCCTGCAGCTTGTTGGAGTAGAGCATATTTTAAGACAGATACTCAATGTGCTTTGTAAGTCAATAACATGTGCGAAGATTATGTTATAACAAAAAAGCACCAGAAGATTATGTTTTATCGTATTATAGGTAACCAATCATATTCAACTTGTCTTTTCATTTCAGGTATGCATTTTCTATTTTATCATATTAATAATATAATTTTGTATGCATATAGGAGATCTATTGTGCTTTCTACATACAGTCACATCATGTTTCTAACAAATGGGCCACAGTTATGGCCAAATGATGGAAACATAGCCATCAACCCACCTATCATGAGAAGAGCTATTGGGCGCCCAAAGAAAAATCGAAACAAGGATAATGATGAGCCTAGGAGCACAAACACTTTGCCAAGACTTCTTCAAACTGTGAAATGCAAAAAATATGGTAATATGGGACATAACAAAAGAACTTGCAAAGGGAAGCGAGCGGCTGAGAGATCCATTTCTAAGGCTGGCAACAAAAAGGAAAAACAAAAGGCAAAAAAGGATGGTGGGAAAACTGTCATAGAAGGAGGGTCTCAAGCACCAGGAGAAACTCAAGAATAGTTCTACATTAGGATTTATGTTATTTGTTTTGAGTTTGTAATGACTTTTGTGTAGTGAACCTGTTTTGGGCCTATAATGGCTTCTTTTTTTTGTTTTGAACATGTTTTGGGCCTATAATAGATTTTGGATAGTGAACCTATTAATGGATTTTGGCTTTGTTATGAATCTTTGTTATGAAAATATAATGTCTGTTATAGTGCATATCAATCAAAACAAGTCTTTTATAATGGATATCAATCAAAGCAAGTCTGTTATAGTGGATATTATTTAGATGTTTGTTGTGATACGGTGGGAGAACTGACTTTGAGGTTTTGCGTTTGTATTCGCAAATGTTGCGGTTAGCAAGAGTCGCCACCGACTTTTTATTTTATCCTAAGGAAAGGTTAAAAAGCACAGCAAAAACCTTTTGAGATGTTTTCTTAGGTTCGGGGAGTAGATTATAGAAAGGGAAGGTATTAGCATCCTTTCTATCCATGGTTATCCATGGGCTCTTAGTTACTTGCTTAGATCACTTGCCTTTTGTTTTCAATTGTTTTAAATGGTGCTTGAGTGTGTGGGTTTGAAAATGTTTTGAAAAGAGGCCAATGTGGTGGCAACCTTTGTAATGATCCATGTGTGGGATGTATACAAAGATGTATGTCTTTTGAAAAAGTTTTCATTTGTTTTTGAAAGTTGTTTTGAAAGTGTGGTGATGTGTGATTTTGAAATTAGGCAAGTGTTTTGTTTTGCAAGTTGATTCAAGTAACTAAGAGGTTATCTACTCCTAAATTTCTCAAAAGATTATTGCTATACTTTAACCCTTTTAACAAGTTTGCTCCACCCTTGTATTTGGTGGGCAAACTTGTGTTAGGATGTGAAAGGGACAGGCGCGGGTCATCGTTTTAGACCATAATTGCAACGGCGTTAAATGTCTTTGAGCAATTTCTCTAAGGGACTTGATCATTTGTTTTTGTTTGTTTTGAAAAAGTTTTGTCGAGGGACTATGATCATTCAAATTGCTTGCTTTGCTCAAAGAAGTTCAACATACAATATGGCCCAATTATTTGAAGGCAACAAGTGGAAAACCCTAGGGGGGTGCAAGTGTGATTTGTGTGTCCATTTTCATGCTTGTTTATCTTGTATTAGGTCAAACTATTTTTTATCGTTTTTCGCATACAAACCCTAATTCTAACATGTTATCATTAGAAAGCAATAAAGTGCGAAATTAAAAAATTACTAAGCTATTACAAAACCAAATATGGGAAGGGGGGTACAAAGGTTCAAATGGGGTTATTGACAAGAATTTAAATCTAAATTATTACATCATTTGAATATTTGCAAGGTAAATAAATTGCATAATTAAATGGAAATTAAATAAATATGTGAAATGCCAAAAGAAAGTTTTTATGTGTATGAGAAAATATTTTTTATGTAAAAGAGAAAAGAAAATAAAAATGTATTATTTTTTGGAGTATTTTGAACTTAGGATAAAACCCTAATTTTAAAGAAAAAGGTATTATTTTCTAATTTAATACAACTATTTATTCATTATTTATAAAAATAAAATAAAATGAAATGTATTATGGAAAAAGGTATTTTTATATCAAATATTAATAAAATAAAAAAATTCAAGTATTTTTATATTTTTATCTTAAATATATTAATAAACACATATATATATATATATATATATATATATATATATATATATATATATATATATATATATATATATATATATATATATATATATATATATATATATATATATATATATTAAACCCTAAATATGTATTATACAAAAAATAAGTATTTATTTAATATTTTAATAAAATAAATAAAAAGAGTATTTTTTTGTGTGAAATATTTTCAGAAAGTAAAAAAAAATAAAAATTGTATTTACATTATTTTTATATTTATTCTCATAATAGTCTATATATACTTATGTACAAACAAAGAAAATAAATAAATAAATATGCAATAAATGCAAAAAATGATGAAAAAAATATTTTTAATTTTTTAATGTCATGAGAAAAAATAAACAAAGTCAACAAAAAAAGAAAAAAGTCAAAAAGAGTAAAAAATGAAGCAAATGGGCTCAGGGGGTGTAAACATGGAAATGGGGTGTGAAAAGAAAATGAATCCAGGCCCAACCCAGACCACTTCTTCTTCAACCTCTGTACAGCCTTCTTCAAGCAAAAACACGCGTTTTTTATCTCTGGATTCCTGGACTTTCAAGCAAAACTCATAACATGAAAAGTGTAGAGCATTAAGAGACGGTTTCAACCATATAAAGAACATGACCTATCTCTCTAAGATGAGGGAGAATTTCTCTCCCCCCCATTTCTGACCTAACTTTTCATCAATGTTCAGACATGAAATTCTCTAAGCACACGAAATATAAATGAAATCTAAACATATGAGCATGTTCAGGGCTATGATTGTGACATGTTTTCTTCAA